GAAGGAAAGAAGGAAAGAAAGAAAGGAAAAAAGAAAAGTGTGTTATTTCTTTTCTTCCATCTTTGTTCTAAGCATGCTTTCTTTGGTATTGGGGGCTAACTGGTTCTCTGAAGCTCCCCCCCCACCATATGATGCTTGTCTACCATGTGGCCCCCTGATCTCCATAGGCTTAACTTAGCATGGCTTTCACTTTTTCTTTGGCTTGCCTTCCTTAATATATTTTATTAACTCTGAGACTTTCATACAGTGTATTGATCATATTCACCTCTAACTCCTCCTTCAACTCTTCTCATGAGGAGTTGTAGGCCATTTCCCCACCTAACCACCGAGAGACTAGGAGTTAGACTCCCTAGGAGACAGACACACAGGAAGTGGGGCCCATGGCTAGGTAATAAAGATGGCGATTTCCCAAGCTTTCCAGCTTCTTCCTCACCCTCCTGACTTGAGACAAAAGCCTACTAATTTAACACAAAGGCTTTGTAGGCTTTTGTCTCCCACCAGCAGGCCCTCTGCTGATGGACTGGCTTAACAAGTTCAAGGCTGCTCAAGACGGGTCACGGGACATTCTTGGCTACACAACCAATCTAGCTTTTTTCAAAATGACCAGCCCTAAGTTAGGGGAGGAAAGTTCTTCAGAGGCTTTAAAACCCCCGCCCCTCAAGAAAAGACTGGGTTTTAAGGCTTTCTGAGGCCCACCAACCCCAACCCCACCTTTGCAGAGGGTCTTTTTCCCTGAGTGTCCACTGCAAGGCCTGTGCTTCCTCACCCCCAATAAACATCTTTCTTTAGCTGTTAATTCTGTTTGTGGTGTTTGAGATTTCTCTGCGGCCACCTGTTTTACTCCAGATTTTTCCTGCCTTTTAACTCTTTAACTGGTGGGGAAAATGAACCCAATCAGGACCCCCTAGACTGTATCACCACACCTTCCAACTTCTTCTTTTTATGACTCACCAAGTTCACTTTGTGCTGCCCATATATTCATGAGTGTGGGGCTGTCCACTGGAGGACAAGTGACCTACCCGTGACCACACCACTAAAGAAAACTGAAGAACTACTGATAGAGCTAGGGATGGGGGACCTGATTGAAAATGTTGAATAGGCTGGTGCAGGCAACCAAAGCTGCTCTGAGTTCAGGAATGCAGAAGCCCTGTTGTGTTCAGAAGACACAGTTTCGTTATGGCCCTCCCTGACCTTTGGCTATTACAATCTTCCTGTTCCCCCTTCCAAGATGGTCCCTGAGCCTTGATGGGGAAGTGGGGGTTGTTATAGATGTCCTATTTGCAGCTGAGCATAGGAATGACCTTTTTTTTTTTTTTTTTTCCTTTTCCTCCTAGTCTCCATTTCCTCCAGGTAGCTGCTGAGATTTATAGTTTGCCTGCCCTGAGATTTTTCTTTTAAACTCTAATGAATTGTCCTTGATAAAAACAACAAAACTCCGTGGCACTGCTTCCCATGGTCCAGCTTCTCAGAGGCTCAAGGCCCTTTGTAGGGATACTGAAAGGTCTCTGTGCCTAGTCCCCTATGGGTGTGCACTCATGGCTTCTTGTGATACACAAATAAAGCTTGCCTGGAGATCAGAGTGTGGAGCTAGCCACTCGAGGACGGGCAGTGGTGGCACTCACCTTTAATCCCAGCACTTGGGATCTCATGCCTTTAATCCCAGCATTTAGGAGAAGGAAACAGGAAGTGATATGGCTGGACGGAGAGAGGAAGTGATAAGGCAGGGTGGAGACAGGAGCTCGGCCCATTCAGTCTGAGGACTCCTAGAGGTAGGAAATCTTTCTAGTGGCTGGCTGCTCTGCTTCTCTTATCTTTCAGCTTTCACCCTGATATCTTTATTATTAAGACCAATTAGAATTCCCACTATTGCTTCTTAAGCTATAGCACAAAACATTTGTCCTACCTCCAGTGAGAGATTTCAAGGTGCACCTACCTTACCTAGAGCACAACAATCCCCAGCTACAGGAACCACTCTTCTCAGACAGGCCAGCCCAGGAGCTTCAGTAACTGCTCTGACTTCTGTTCCTTGAAATTCTCCTAGTAGCTCTTGTAATCTCTAGGACCCGTGGGTACAGAATATCTTACTGGCAGAGATAAAGACCTTGGATTTATAATCAAGAGGCCTGAGTTCAAGTCCTCTCTGATAATTTACTTATATAAGTAATTTTGATCAACTCATTCACTTAACTCCTTGAGATATTAGTTTTCTCATCCCTAAAACAATCCTGCTATCAAACACAGTCAACCCTCATGCCTTTGGACTCTACATCTACTGATTTAGTCAACCACAGACTTAAACATTTAGGGAAAAAATGTGTAAGTCTGGTATAGTGATATATGCTCATAATCCCAGCACTGCGGAAGCTGAGGCAAGAGGATTATTGTGGCCAATCTGGTCTATGTAGCAAGGTCCTATTTCAAGTAACTAAAACAAATGAAAATGTGTACAGGTTTTTTATCTTGCCATTCTTCTCTAAATTATAACATAACTGAGAAGACAAGCAGACGCCATAACAGGCTGCTCAGTCTTCTCTCAGAGATCAGGACTCAATTTCAGTTTCCTGAGACTGAACAAGCAGTTTCTGGGAGAGCCATGAACAAAGGACAATCAATCTCTAACACTTCCGACAGCAAGGACAAGGAGGCTGGTACATGGAGTACCATCCAGGCCAGGCCAGGCCTGAGCCACAGTCAGCAAGCCCAAGGTGATAATCAAATAAAGACAAAGCCTAGGACTTGTCCATTCCAGCCCCCAAATGGAAAACTGTAGCCTTAGCCAACTCCTACTAGCCCTGGCCAAGTAGAATGTACTAATATGATTGCCACTTGCTGAAGCCAATTAAATCTAAGGTGTCCTAACTACCCTAGGAACTCCCTTTAGCTATGCTTAAAAGGAGCCTGCGAGCTCCTCTCAGGGTCATCCCCATTTTGCCTTTGTGTGGGATAGCCGGTCCCAGCATGCTGGAAGCTTTCTCAAGACAAACACTCTTGGGGCTGGAGAGATGGCTCAGAGGTTAAGAGCACCGACTGTTCTTCCAGAGGTCCTGAGTTCAATTCCCAGCACCCATATGGTGGCTCACAACCATCTGTAATGAGATCTGGTACCCTCTTCTGTGTACATAATAAATAAATAAATAAATAAATGAATAAATAAATAAATAAATAAATAAATAAATAAATAAATAAATAAATTTTACCAGGCAGTGGTGGCACATGCCTTCAATCCCAGCACTTGGGAGGCAGACCCAGGCGGATTTCTGTGAGTTCAAGGCCAGCCTGGACTACCAAGTGAGTTCCAGGAAAAGGCGCAAAGCTACACAGAGAAACCCTGTCTCAAACAAACAAACAAACAAACAAAAGATAAACACTCTTGTTGATTGCATACATGGATGGTGGTCTTTTGCAGGACTTCTCCAGGACCCTAACAATAACAAGTGTTTATAAAGCATTTACATCATACTTCATATTAAAAGCAATCCAGAGAGATAAGTTCTAGGATATAGGAGGATGCGCATAGGCCAAATGCAAACACAATACAATTTTTTTTTTGTTTTGTTTTTCGAGACAGGGTTTCTCTGTGTAGCTTTGCACCTTTCCTGGAACTCACTTGGTAGCCCAGGCTCGCCTCGAACTCACAGAGATCCGCCTGGCTCTGCCTGCCTCCCGAGTGCTGGGATTAAAGGTGTGTGCCACCACCGCCCGGCCACAATACAATTTTATATAAGGGACTGAGAATCTACAGGTTTAGCCAACTTTAGGGGTCCCAAACCCAGGCCACTAAGGATACTGAGGAAAGAATATATTTCATAAAATTAGCAGAAAAAGCAAAGGTAACACACTGAAAATTTGTATAAGCTGGACCTGGTGGCACAAGCCTGGAATCCTAGCTACCAAGCAAGATGTAGTAGGAGGATTCTAAATTGTCATGGCTAATCTTTGTTGTCAACCTGACACACCTGGGAAGAAGAAATCTTAGTTGAAGAATTGTACCCATCAGATTGACCTGTAGTGATATCCACAGGGCATTTCTTGACTGCTAATTGACATAGGGCCCAGGCCACTCTGGGGCATTATCATCCATAGGTTTCTGCCTCAAGTTCCTACCCTGCTGGCATTCCTTCCCTGACTTCCTTCAGTGATGGACTGTAACCTGTAGCACGAAACAAACCCTTTCCTCCCAAAGTTGTTTTTGGTCATGGTGTGTACCATAGAAATGAAAAGCAAACTAGGACACAAGTTAAGGTCTGCTGAGTGAGTTCAAGGCCAACCTGGATATTTTAATAAAACTTTGATCAAATTAAGAAACAAAAAAAAAGGGAAGGGGAAAATAATGTAATTGTATTTTAATTTTGAAGAAAAAACTAATTTTATAAAAAAGTAGAAAGAAATCTGGAGATGTAAGTCAATGATAGATGCTTGTTTGAATGTGCAAGACCCTGAGTTTAATCCTCACTATCACAAGCACAAAAACAAAAAGTTAATGTAAACTGAAAACCATTGGCCTTGGCTAGTGCATAGGATATACTTCATGAGCCAACTTGTGATCTATTAGGACTGGGGCAACATCTCAAGAGTTAATTGTCATGAAGTTAATCAGGACTGCTTACAAACTGGGTTGAGAAGGATGCTGGGTTCACTGAGAAAAAACAATCGTTGAGTAGAAATACCTGCTGCAATTCTGAAAGGTTGTTGGCATTAGAAGGGCATTGATTAGTAAGGAGGGTGCCACTGATGTCACATGTTTGTCATTACTCTTCTCGACAGGTAGGTGTTGTGATTAGCATCATTATGTCAGATGTCATCTGCAGCAACCTTAAAAAGACAAGGACAGTTTATTGAAGAAGCAACAGGATAGCAGCCCAAGGAGAATGTGACTTGAAGAAGCAAGGGACTTACTTTGTTGCAGTAGGAGTTTGTTTCCCAAACAGCAAAGCCCATACAGGACCTTCACTGGCTGGAACTAGAGGTCTACATAGAGCACCCCTGCTCCATGGGGAGAGTTCCTCCCTATTCACCTTGCCTCCTGCCTTGCAGAACAATCTTATCTACTCTGCTGGTGTCAGTCTTCATGATCTCTGTAGCCTAGATCTCCTAAGCCCTGTTCCTGTCAATCCAAGTGGGACCTATAACTTGAAGGTCTATATGGGACCAAGTGCCAGGTTAAAAGCAGAAGACATCTCTGATGACTTTGTGCAGAAAAAAGAGACTGTTTAAAAAAAAAATTTATATATATATATATATATATATATATATATATATATATATATATTAGTAGTTCACAGAATCTGAAAGACAATCAAGAACAGCCAAGAACAATGTCGAAGACCACTCCACAGAGCTGGGACCAGTGGACAAAAGGGTAGAATCCTGGGCCATTAACACCACTGACAGGATAGGCTGCAGCCCATGTAGCTGTCACTCCAGCCTCTACTGGCTGTGGAGGACACTGCCACTGCTTCCCTCGGCTGACTGCATTCTCAGAGCCTGTTGATTCTTTATGTCATTAGTTTCTAAGCCAAAGTCAGAAGGAAAAGCAACTAAAAGACACATGTGAAGTGAGACACCCAAGCCTTGGACTTTAGGAAATTTGAGAGTCTCAAATGTTTAGCCTTATGGTAGGACATAGGCTCTGACACATTAGTTCAGGGGAGGGATTAAATGCTTAGATCCATTTTGGGTTACAGTGCTATAGTAATAACATGTAGGAGTCAGATAGCATCAAGTCATCTATGTGCTAATCCCACACACTGACAGTTAGACCATCATGTGAACCACAGAAAAGAAAAAAAAAAAGAAAGTAAAACCAAAAACAAATTGAATTTCCACTTCTTTGCTCCAACAGAGACTTCAAATTCACTGGGCAACCTTTTTTTACTCTATACCTTCAGATTATTCCCTTACTTTCAGTCTCCTAGCCATCAGCCAGAACCCTGACTGTCACCTGTCACTCATTTCTTTCTCTGCTTCACTCCTGAAGCAGACCACATCCTGCAACCACAGACCAAATCAGGCAGACTGTCTCCAGCGACCCTTATTTGGCTTTCTCTCTTTCCCACCGTGGCCTGTGCACCAATCCTCAACTAACTCTGCCTTGATACTAGATCAGTCTTTTAACTGGCCTTCATTCTGCATCATCTCTAGTCTATACATTCACACATCCATCATCTCTCCATCCACCCAGTCATCCATCCATGCATCCATCATTCGTCTACACACGAGCAACTAGCTTTCTACTCAGCCAGTTATCCAGCCAGTCGGCAAACCACCCACCCACCCAGCAACACTATCCATTCATCTACCATTCCAACTTATACTACTGAATGAATTGCTATGTGCTAGACATCATAACTACTATAATAAACAAGTCCCTGGCAGACATGATGGACACTAATAAAACAGTCCCCCCCCCTAATAAATATATAATCAAAGGTGCTATGAAAGAAAATTACAGGGTACAATGAGAGCATCACAATGGGGCCCTGCATTGGTGAAGAGGCCAGGGAAGCTATCTGTAAAGAGATGACCTTTGAGGAAGGGTGAAATGATGGAGGAGATAACCTGACCTAGGTGGGTGGGGCTAAGATCTTCTAACCAAAAGAAACAGTGAGTAGGGATGCTGTCAGGGAGGAAAAAGCAGGGCACATTTGGGAAGTCAAAAGTTTGATATGACAGAGGAGTCTATCCTTTGTATTATAATTCCAGAACTGGGCAGCATGCCTGGCATACAATAGGGATTTCAATAGTTTGCTAAAGGAGAAAATGGATGGATAGGTGGATGGATGATAGAGATATATGGACAAAGAGCTGAAGCTGTAATTCCCAGCACAACCTACAACTGAGAGGCAGAGCTGCAGCCTCCCTGCTAGTCTGCCACCTCTAATCTCTACCTCACCTTACAGCCACTTATGCCACCCAGGCACTTATCACATTGTATATAATTGACTGGTTATTGTCTCCTCTTCCCCCATAATGACTGTCATAGGCCTTTGCCTTGTTTACCAATAGAGTCCCAGCACCCAGCCCATGGCCTGCACAGAGGAAGTGTTGCATATAAATATTTAATGAGTTGGTAGGCATCAAAGTCAGGAGGGCAGGGGAGGGTGGAGTTGAGAGTGAGTAACAGGAGTCAGCTGCCAGCACAGGAGGGGCTGAAAGCCAAGTGGAGCACACACATGCCAGTGGCATTCAGCGTTCACGTCTGGAGACAAGCCCAGAGCCTGCAGGTGAGCAAGGAAGCAGGTGCAAAGGACTCAAGGAGGAGCCACAGGGTGGGCCCACGCCATCCAGGGTCTGGCATCCTCTGGCTGCTCTACAGGGCCTGGTTTATAGCTTTCAGGTCATTCCATGGCCTCCAGGAAGCTTCACCTTCGACATTTAACCTTCTGCACAGATGGGGGGAGGGAAGGGATTGTGTGTGTACATACACACATACATGTACAGGCCCAATTTCCCCCACACCTATGTATGAATGTCCTGTTCCTCTTGACCTGTGCTGCTACTGCCCAGCCCAGTGACTGGCCTTTTGGAAGAGTCAACAAGAATATACTAGAGAAGCTTGAGCTCTGAACCAGTGGCCAGTCCAGCTGGATAGAGAGCCCCTAGACAAACAGAACCTTGCTGGGAAAGATAGTAACCCCAGGTCTTATGGATGGTTGTGACTTGTCTGAATGATTCCTGTTGGCTTGCTGGAAACCAGATTTCCTCCTACACGGCCTATTCTGGTCCTCTTGTTGTGACTTAATGCCCTTCAAAATTATCAGGCCCACCCATTTCATTCTGCCCCTTTGGCTGCTTGTTTCTGCAAAGACTACACCGACTCTTCATGTGAGGTTTAGTGAATATTTACTGAGTCCCTAGTATGTCCTGGATACTAAGTCACCATACAGAGTTCTATTATTTTTATTTATTTGTTTGTTTGTTTGTTTATGCAGAGTCTCACTATTTGGCCCAGGCTTGCATAAAACTCACAATCCTTCTGCCTTAGTTTCCCTTAAGGCTGAGGTTACAAGTACGATCCACGGTACCCTGCCTGTACTATTGAATCTCAACATTTCCCTAAATGTATTTCCTCATAGATGAGAATGACTAACGAACAAGAACTGGAGGTATTTAGGTCAGAGATGCCACTAATTAATTGCTTCCGAAATGCACAGCCATGTGGTCCTTCCTGGGAGCTAGACACAAACACCAACTTGGCCCCATTTGCAGGGATGATGAAGCCCTAGGGCATCATGTTGGCACCACCACTTGCTCACTTTGCACACGGCCACACCTCACTCTTGGCAAGGATCCCAGTCCTTGGACCTCATCATTTTATACTACTGAGCTTTCCAAGGATAGTGATAAAACCAAGGCAGTCCTGGGCAAACCCGAGAGAGTTGGTCCAACTCAAGGCTGTCTTCTTTGTTGCAATACGTTCCAGAAGAGGCAGCTTGGCCTGTCAGAGAGGGAGAGGCAGTACCTGCTGCACAAAGGAAACAGCTCTCAGACCAGGCACTTGGCCAAGCCCAGTTCCCTAGATCCAGGCCATGCAAACCTTGGGGCCTGCTGACTCAGCCACACCTGGGGCTGCCAAGTCAGTCATCCGAGCAGCAACAGGAAGAGCAGCTTTGAGCTCTGGAGAGTGGAGACCGACCTGCCACTCTGGTTTATTGCTGAGTGCCTCACTATAGCACAGGCCACTGCTGAGACAAGCTCAGTAAGGAATATGTAAGTGATAATCCAAGTCTTTCTCTCTAGTCAGAGGCTTAGAGTAAATCCTTGAACCCTGGCCTCATGTGCCACCCTCCTCAATTCTCCTTTCCTGGCCTTAAGCCTCATTAACAATCCTCTCCCATCCCTACCTCAAGGGTCAGCCTAGAAAATCCCTGTTGTCTAAAACCCAGGCCACCTTCATCGGCATACGCTATCGGGACTCTTCAAGGCTCTGCCCAGACTCCTTTTGGCCAGTATCCAACAATATCCCACTGCCCTTTACCTCTGAAGTAACCTTGCCTTGTGTTAGCCAAACCTCCTGTGGCCCAGGGCTGGGATTTTCACATCCTGGTCAGGCCTCTAGTGTGAGGCAGGCTTCCTTATTCTTGGTTTGAGGATCTGCTTTCCAGGCTAAGCAGCTCTAAGATCTGCATGTTGACTTTTTCTAGGCTGGCTTCATCTGTAGGTTCTATCCCAACTCCACCCAGCTGCACCCTCAAGGTCAGTCACACTTAGCCAGGTGAAAAGGTGAAAATGAGGCACCAAGGAAAATGCTAATCTTTCCTCTTCCTAATCAACACACTTACCACCAGCTAGCTGGTTCCCACCCTCATCCCCCACCCCCACGCTCTGTAGGAGGGTGCAGTAGAAAGAGCAGGAACTGTTGGTAGCCTCACAGCTTCAGAGGTGGGAGGAACTGGGTGGGTCACTGAACCCTGCTTCTCATTTGTGTGGGACTCTTGCTGTACTATGCACACCAAGGGGCTTGGACTTCTGCTCAGCTCTGCCTGGATGGGTGTTCCTTGCTTTTCTTGTGGCCAACTGATATTTAGGAAAGCCCCCCCCACACACACACCCCATATTCATCTCTTTGAAGGAAACAGCTCCTCGTGGTATGTGTTGTAATCCAATGCTGGATTCTGGCAAGCTTACCCTATTGGAACTATTGAGAGTTGGGGTGACATCTCCCTCCCATGGTGTTACTCCATCCCTAGCTGTACCAATCAGGATCCCAACATTGTCCACTCAAGTTAAGACAATGTGAGGCAGTGTCTTAGTTGCTGTTCTAGTGCTAGGAAGAGACACCATGACCAAGGCAATTTAGATAGGAACACATTTAATTGGGGGCTTGCTTACAGTTCCAGAGGGTGAGTCCACGATCATCATGGCTAGAAGCATGGTTGCAGGCAGCTAGCATGCTGCTGGAGTCATAGCTGAGAGCTGACACTCCAATCCACAAGCACTCAGCAGAGAGACAGAGACAGAGACAGAGACAGAGAGAAACAGAGACAGATTTGGACTGGTGTAGGCTTTTGAAACCCCACCCCCACCCCCAACACACACACCTTCAACAAGCCCATACCTCCTAATCCTTCCTAAAGAATCTACCAACTGTGAACCAAATATCCAAATATATGAGCCTATGGGGGCCATTCTCATTCAAACCACCATAGGTAGATTTCTTTTCAAAGGGACTATTGATCAAGTTGAGGGCAGAATATAATGAAAGCTCAGCGACCTGCCTGAAGTAGCAAGTCTAAAACTAGAGAGTACCGGTTACAAAACCTAGAAAGTGGGTTAGTGTACTGGAAATGGGCTATTACCTGGGTGGTCCTACCAACCCTACCACTCAGAGTCAGAAGCCAGTCCTAAGGTGGATCGAGGCAGGGGAAGGCTATCCAGTAGTTTCCTAGACCAGCTCCCATGGGTGCAAGCTGGGCGCCAGGGGCTGTAGAGCAGGGAGGCTGAGTTTCTGTCATCAGATCCTAAAGCTGAGTGGGATGAAGGAAGTGAGAAATCTGAGGGTTTATGATTCAGAATGTGACTGGCTAAGGCAGGAAGCCTAGATGGAGTGCGCAGGAAGCCTAGGAGGGTCCCTACCTATGAGAGGAATGCCTGGGGCTTACTACAGTTAGCCTGCAGCTGTGGTCTGGCCTTGTCACTCTCCAAGATTTCTTTATTGCTCCAGGCTGAGGACCCATTTTCTTACAGAGAGCACCTATGTGACTGGACTCTCTGTCCTTATCAGAGCAGATGGTGACTCTGAGCAGCTGAAGTTTCTTTGGGCCTGGAGCCTTGTTCTAGAGGTCTACTCAGCAATTCAAACCTCACGTGTCTCAAAGTAGAAGGTGTATAGAACTCCCCCCAGGGTCCTGTTATAATGATGGTACTGATCCAGCAGGTCCTGGTGGTGTGGGAGATCCTGTTTCCAACAAACTCCCTGATGGTACTGATGCTTCCTGGCCACAAGCCACACTCAAGTAGCAAGCCCTTACCCTTCTCTAACTAGATAGAATCTGAACCACTTGGAGCTTTGAGGAAGTAAAATGCAACCAGTGTAGGATACCAGGCCAGGCTACAGCTAATGAACCTTTGATAGCGATCCTTGCAAAAACCCTCCTTTTTGGGTGTCCATTAATGCCCTTTTGCCTCCTTCCTCTTGTCTGTCTTGATAGCACAGAGAGACCTGGCCACCAGGCTTGGAACACAATTGTTTTTCATATGAAATCGACAAACATACTCTGCCTGCCCACTGATGATTAAAGGGTCTGAAGTCCAACTCTCTGACTGGCCCAAGACAGTGAGAAGGGTGAAAATAAAATGAAGGAAGCCCAGAGGTAGGTGGCAAGAGCATCTAATATGCTCTTCTACATCACTGAACCCCAAGTGGGATGCAGAGGAAGGCTTTTAAGGCTCCTTCCAGGTCTCTGCTCAACAATGCCAGAGCATCACCACTGTCCTAACAGCCTTCTGAAATTGGTTCTTCTTGGATTTGGTTCAGTCCAAGGCTTTTGCTGGGTGACCCAACTTGATGCCATGGATCTCCTATGATACCTCTTGTCACCTTCTAACTCTGGTTTCTCTCCCCCAAAGCTCCAGTTCAGTGATGACACTGGTAGTCCCCATTACCAAGAGCAGGGTTGACATGCAATGGTCCACAGGCCAGATTCACTCAGCCACTACTAAAAGCACAGGTACGAGGTGTGCTTGGACTTTGAAAATTTCACATTCTATTATCTTTGAACCTCAAATGTTATTGCTAATTTATTGTATATTATATAGCTCTAATTATTATTATTACTATTATCATTATTATCACTATTACTATTGTTGTGGCATTTAAAAGCATGCTTTTTAGTTTACAACTCTAAAAATAGCAAAAACTTGTACTTGAGAAAAGGAAAATTTGGCTTTATCATTTTTTTTTTTTTTTTTTTTTTTTTTTTTTTTTTTTTTTTTTTTTTTTTTTTTTTGAGACAGAGTTTCTCTGTGTAGCCCTGGATGTCCTGGATCACTTTGTAGACCAGGTTGGCCCCAGGTTGGCCTCAAATTCACAGAGATCTGCCTGCCTCTGCCTCCCGAGTGCTGGGATTAAAGGTTTGCACGACTACACCCTGCTTAATCAAGATAATTTCTTATGGTGGAACCATTTGTGTGTGTGTGTGTGTGTGTGTGTGTGTGTGTGTGTGAAGGCCGAAGGTTGATGCTGGGTTTTCTCCAATTGTTCCACCTTATGTTTTGAGATAGTGTTTCTCAAAAACTGGGAGCTTTCTGTTTTTTTAAAAGATTTATTTATTTATTATGTATACAGTGTTCTGCCTGAATGTATGCCTGCACACCGGAAGAGGGCACCAGATCTCATTACAGATGGTTGTGAGCCACTATGTGGTTGCTGGAAATTGAACTCAGGACCTCTGAAAGAGCAGTCAGTGCTCTTAATCTCTGAGCCATCTCTTCAACCCCTTTCTGATTCTTCTAGCTTGGCTAGTTAAAAAAAATTTTTCAGGGACCCTCCTGTCCACAGCACTACAATTTCAAGAGCATGATGCTGAACCTTGATTAAGTTTAAAAAAATTGTGAGTGTGTGTGTGAGTGTGTGTGTGTGTGTGTGTGTGTGTGTGTGTGTGTGTGTCTGCATGTGTGCACTGGGTATTGAACTCAGGGTTTCATGCACACTAAGCAAATGATCTACTATTGATTTATACTCTCAGCAACTGTAAAATTTTCTCTCTTCACAAAAAAAGACATTGAGGGACTGAGAAGATGGGCTAAGCAGGTAAGAGTGTTACTCTGTAAACAAGAGGACTTGAGTTTATCTCCAGCACTCAGATAAAAATCTGGGCATGCCAGGAGTAGTGGCACACACCTTTAATCCCAGCACTCTGGAGGCAGAGGCAGGTGGACCTCTGTGAGTTCAGGGCTAGGCTGGTCTACGTAGCTAGTTCCAGGACAGCCAGTGCTACATAGAGAGACTCAGACCCTATCTCAAAAACAAAAAAACAAAAAGAAAAGCAAAACCCCAAACATAACAAAGCCTTGGTGTGATTTCACATACTTGTAACCCTAGCATTGGAGGGTGGAGAAACTAGTCAGCATAGCCCAAACAGTAAGCTTCCAGTTCTGTGAGAGCTCCTGACTCAAGACAATAAAGCAGAGGGTAATCGAGAGAGAAAGCTTGCATCATACTTTGGCCTCCACGTGTGCATGCATAGGTGTGGTCACTGGTGTATACTCACATGTACCACACATACACAAGTAAATAAAGAGCAATGTTCATTAAAAAAGAAAAAACAGCATTGTTGATAGCTGCCTTTGAGAAGCCCACATCTACACTAGGGTGCAAGCCACCCTTCCCTAAGCAATTCTCTCTCACACTAATGCCCATGCTTAAAACTATGCCATGGTGGGGGGCGGGGTTGGGGACTTAGCTCAGTGGTAGAGTGCTTGCCTAGCAAGCACAAGGTCCTGGGTTCGGTGCTCAGCTCTGGAAAAAGAAGAAAAAAGAGAGGGAGGAAGGGAGGAAGGGAGGGAGGGAGGAAGGAAAGAAGAAAGAAAGAAAGAAAGAAAAAAAAAACTATGCTATGGGTTTTTCTTAAGAAACTCCAAGTCAGTTAATAAAATAGAAAGGCAGTGTTGTAACAGCTTTAAGTACTACCAGGACAATCTTCTAGTTTTGGAGGGGAGACATGCACACTGTTCTATTCCAATTTCTTGGCTAACCACCTAGATTGAGTAAGTTTACAACTTCCTTTGCCAATTTTTTTTTTTCTTTCCAATGGTACTAGAGTTGGACCCGGGCCTCACATACACTAAACCAATTGTTTTGGTTGCTCATCAACTATTTGTTTATGTTATCTATGGCAAAAGACAAGCTAATTTTAGCTATGACGGAGCTGAATAGGACTGATAAGCACTGTTCACTTGTCCCACAGGTGCTAAGCGCTTTGCATATACTGTTCATATTTAATCAACCAAGAGAGAAAGATATCCCTATCTGCACTGTAAAGATAAGGAACTAAGTCTCAGAGAACTAACTTAACCTCACCGGAGAAGTTGAAAGGCCCACAATTTGAGCCTAGCTCTGGTGGTCCACTGCTCTAACTACTGAGCAGCACGGTTACAAGGTTCTTATAATGTGAACTATCTGCAGTTCACTAGCTGACTCATTCACTGAGCAAATATTGTAGGCCCACGGGGCAAGCACCTATCTGCTTGGTGCCCAGGGTACTGGTGAGGTTGCTAGGAGATCATGATAAGCTCTCCCCATGGTGCTAAGCAGGGGCTGTGCTCCAGACTGATAAGGGACACCGGAGGACAGGAGTGAGTTGCTAGTGGAACCTGGAAGGAGCAGATGAATTGAAAGGACAGCTAACACATGCTGTGGGTTGGGCAGGAGGATATCCCCAACCTTCTGGGAGGCACCAGAGTTAGACATGAGAATAAACGTGCCAACTCCACTTCCCCACCCCACCTCCTGGCTACTTTCCTATAGACCATGCACAACTGGGGGGCAAAGGACATGGGGGCTTATGGGGCTTCCTGAGGGACTCTACATGGCTCAGCCTCTCTGAGGAGTTTTGGGAAAAAAAAAACATGAAAAAGTTACCTAAAAGGATGATGAAAATCGACAGAAAATCCTGTATTTTTGTACATCAGCACTGGGTTCATGGCACTAGCTGGGTACCCACGTTGTTTAGTATACAGCAGTATTCATTAACTTGAGACTTGGCCAAAGCAGGTCACCAGTACATATCTGTGGGAGAAGAAATGGGTTAGGGAAGAAGTGTCTGAGGTGTCACTTGAATTAATAAGTGAAATAAATGCATTCTTAAATTAAATTACTTTAGAATAGTTTATATATTCAAATGTATTTTAGAGTTCTAGATTTACCAAAAAAAATGATTAAATAGAAAATTCTCATTTAACCTCTTATTAGTATCTTGTGGCACATCTGTCACAAATAATGAACCAATATTGGCACATTATATTATTATTGTTATTATTATTTGGTTTTTAGAGACAAGGTTTCTCTGTGTATATTTCTGGATGTCCTGGAACTCTGTAGACCAGGCTGACCTTGAACTCACAGAGATCCACCTGCCTCTGCCTCCCAGTGCTGGGATTAAAGGCATGTAGCACCACTACCACCTGGTCAATGGTACATTATTAAATGAAGTTATACATCATTCAGGTTTCCTTCATCTGTTCCCAGGTCCACCCCAGGACTCCATGCTATAGTTCACTGGCAATGCATCTTCTGGGTCTCCCAGAGGGTGATGATTCTTGCTTTCCTTGTTTTGGATGAGCTTGAGTTTTCAGTATCAGTCAACAATATAGTGGAACATTTCTTGTTGGGATTGATTTTAATGTTTTTCAGTGATTAGGAGGAGGAAGACTAAGGACATAATGCACTCTTATCATATCACCATCTCAAAGGATAGACCACTAACAGTGACTTTCCTGATGGATGTTGGTCCATGGGTTGACTGATGTTACTCAAGGCTGCCTAGTGTGGTTACTCTTTCCCCAAGTTCCATATTCTTTATGACATGGCATACATGAGGACTTGGAAATCCCACTCCATCTTCTTGATGGCCAAATATCTCTATAACTGGTTTGGAATGTTTGGTACAGGAGATTTGTCGGTTTCCCCTCATTTATTCATTTGATCATTTTTTTTTATTAGTGTGGACTTGTGGATATTTTATTCTTTGGCTCTAATTCAATACCATGTTATTCACTTTGTTACTCAAATTTTCCCAGTCTTTGCTACTAAGAACTCTTTCAGTTGGCCCTGTGTTCCTTTGACACTCCACTAACATAGGGCTTTTGTGTGTGGCTTTACTCTGTCATAATCAAGATACTCCAGACATAACCTGTATGCTTCTGGCCTGAACAGTGGAAGAGCTTTACTTCCTATTCTCTTGCTTCCTTTCTTGGGAAAAGCACTCGAACCTAATTTCTGGGGCTAGCTGTCTGAGTGGTTACCAGGATGTCATGACTTTTCTCAGGTAAAAGAGCAAGAAAATGTATGTGTATGCTAATGAACATATTCATATACACATACACGTGTACATGTAAAGATATATGCTTATCCCTATATGTCCATCTGTATCTATAGTAAATGTAAATACACACTGAATCTTGAACTTGAATCTAATCTAGTTCCCTGTGGATCATTCTAGTCATTCTAACAGGTGCACAGCAGTACCTCACTATTATTTTACATTTATGTATGTGTTTCTATGCATGTGTACATGTGTTTGATGTATACAGGATCTCATTCTGTATCCCAGATTGGTCTCAAACCTGTGTCAGCTCAGGCATGGGCCACCATGCCATCTCAGTTGTTGCTGTGGTAGTAGCCATGGCTCTTCTGTTTTATATATTTATTTATTTTTATTTAAGTACATCTTTTATTACAGTTACTTATTTAGGAGGGTAAGCACATGCTATGGCAAGCATAGGAAGTGCCTAAGATAAACTCTTGGGAGTCAGTTCTCTCCTTCCATACCACGTAGGTACCAAGGATCAGTCTCAGGCTGTCTGCTTGGTATCCTCTTTACTCTCTTTACTCCATTACTTTAGCCTGGCTGTTCTTCGTTTGTTGTTGTTGTTGGTTTTCTTTCTGAGTCAGTTTCAGGTAGCCCAAATCAGCCCAAATGCAATATGTAGCCAAGGCTGGTCTTGAACTCTTGATCTTCTTGTCGTTGCCTCCCAAGTGCTGCAATGATAGGCATGTGCTTTGTTATTGTTTTCATTGACATTTCTGTAATGAAAAACTAGTGTTGGAAATTCTTTTATATACTTAAATGACACTTGTACACATTCTTTCATAAAGTTTCTGTTCTGATATTAGTCCCATTGGAGGAAAAAGTAAAATCCAGTTGGATGTTTTCTTATCGTTGAGTTATTTGTATATTTTGGTATGTCTTAGAGATTATATTCCAATGAAGAGATATCATGACCACAGCAACTCTTATAAAGGAAAACATTTAAATGGGGTGGCTCACTTACAGTTCAGAGGTTCAGTCCATTATTATCATGGTGGGGCATGGTAGTGTGCAGGTAGACATGGTGCTGGAGACGTACCCTAGTATCCTACATCTTGATCTGCAGGCAGCAGGAAGTGAACTGTTTCACTGGGTGTGGCCTGCACACATGAGATTTCAAAACCTGCCTCCACAGCGACTTCCTCCAACAAGGCCACAACTCCTAATAGTGTCACTCCCTTTGGGGGGCCATTTTCTTTCAAACCACCATATTCTACTCCCTGGCCCCCAAATGCTTGAAGCCATATCATAATACAAAAATGCATTCAGTCCAACTTCAAAAATCTCCATAGTCTATAATAGTCTCAAACTTGTTTCAAAGTCCAATGCCTCTTCTGAGACTCTTGGCAATCTCTTAACTGTAATCTCCTGTAAAATCACAATCAAAAAGCAGATCATGGCCTGGTTAGTACTTGGATGGGAGACCGCCTGGGAATACCGGGTGCTGTAGGCTTTAAAATTTAAAAAAAAAAAAAAAAAAGCAGATCATCAGGCAGTGGTGGCACATGCCTTTAATCCCAGCACTGGGAGGCAGAGCCAGGTGGATCTCTGTGAGTTCAAAGCCAGCCTGGTCACTCCTAGAGTGAGATCCAGGACAGTTACAGAAACTCTATCTTGAAAAACAAAAATAAATAAATAAATAAAAGCAGATCATATACTTCCAATATATAATGGCACAGGGTATACATTACCTTTCCAAAATATAGAGAAGAGAGCATAGTGAGAAAATACTGGACCAAAGCAAGAATAAAACCAGCTGCACAAAGTCCAAACTCTCTAACTCTGTCTCTGATGTCAAACGCTCTTCAGATCTCCAATTCCTTTCATGTTTGTTGACTGAAACACACTTCTTTCTCTTGGGCTGGTTCCACTCCCTATTAGCAGCTTTTTTCGGCAGGTATCTCAGGACTCTGGCATTTCTAACTTCTTGGGGTCTCTAAGGCAATCTGGACTTCAACTTTACAGTTTCACATAATGGCCTCTCTGGACCTCCATTCAGGGACACCCCTGACACATGCCTGGCCTCAGCAGCTTTCCTTATAGTCTCTGAGGAAGGTTCCATAATGTTTTTCTTCTATCCTTCACTCTAAAGCCAGAACCACATGGCTGAACCTGCCAAGTTTTCCTGTTTGCTGGGGCTGGAACATGCCCCCCCCCCCATTCAATTACATCTTCACCAGCTTTCTGTTTTCCTTAGCTGCCTAAGCCTGGCTGTCCTGGAATTTGCTCTGTAGACCAGGCTGGCCTTAAACTCAGAGATCTGCCAGTTTCTGCCTCTGGAGTGCTGGGATTAAAGGCATGCACCACCACACTTGCCTCTAAGTTTTTCTTTTATTTCTTTTCACGAGTTGAAGCTAGCTAGGTGGGATCCTGCCCTAAGGTCACCACTCCCTTTATTCCATTGCTTAATCTGTTTATCTCCTTGAACACAAGATTTAGTTCCATCTCACTTCCTGGTGCTCCTTTTCTCCTCAAATTCTACATTTTCTTGCTCCTTTTCATTATAAATATTTATGAGAGTGACCAGTAATAAGGATACAACAGAGTCAAAACTAGGCTGTTTTGAGATTTCCTCTGCCAACAGAATTAACATAAATCTTGGGCTGGAGAGATGGCTCAGAGGTTAAGAGCACTGGCTGTTCTTCCAAAGGTCCTGAGTTCAATTCCCAGCAACCACCTGGTGGCTTACAACCATCTGTAATGAGATCTGGTGCCCTCTTCTGGCCTGCAGGCATACATGCAGGCAGAACACTCTATACATAATAAATAAATCTTAAAAAGGAAAAAAAAAGGAAAAAAAAAAAAAGAATTAACATAAATCTCTTCACTTTCACCTTAGGCAGACTCTTTAGACACAGGCAAAAAGCAGCCACTTTCTTCAGCAAAATATCACAAGAATGATCTCCAGGCAACATACTAGACTTCTCCTCTGAAACCTCTTGAGCTAGCCCCTGACAGTTCAATTCATTATCAGTACCATTGTCTTTCATGCTCCTACCAGTAGGGCCCACTAAGCAGGGCTTAAAGCATTCCACTGCTTTCCTAACCCAAAGTTACCAAAGTTAAAACTCCTCCAAACAAAAAACATGGTCAGTCCTATCACAGCAATAGCCCATTCCTGGTACCAACTTGTCTTAGTTGGGGTTTCTATTGCTGTGAAGAGACGCCACAACCATGGTTACCCTTATAAAACATTTAAATAAGTGGCTTACTTACAGTCCAGAGGTTCAGTCCATTATCATTATGGTGGGATATGGTGGCCTACAAGCAGACTTGGTGCTGGAGAAGTAGCCAAGTGTCCTACATCTTGCAGACAACAGGAAGTGAATTACTCACTGGACATGGCTTGAGCATACAGGAGACCTCAAGGCCCATCTCCACAGTGACACACTTCCTCCAACAAGGCTACACCTATGCCAACAAAGCCACAACTCCTACAATGCCATTCCTTTTGGGGGCCATTTTCTTTCAAACCACCACAGGGTACAAGTACTTTATCAATGTGTTTTGCCAGTCTTTTCTCCAAATCAATGGCTTATTTCTTCATTCACACAGCAAAAATTAACTTTAATTAAGTTGAACTTACCCATTTTTTATATATAGATTTTGCTTTGTGTATTATACCCAAGTCCACCAACAAAGCTAACTTTAAATGATTTCTTTTTCTACAAGTTGTATGTATTGGGTTTTACACATAGATCTATGATCCATTGTAAGCAAATTTTTTTGAAAGGCATCAGGTACGTGTCTACATCCCCCCTCCCATCTCCAATAGCATCTCCATTATTCCATCAACATCTGTTGGAAAACTCTTCTTCCTACACTTAATTACCTTTGCACATCTGTCAAAAATAGTGGATTATATTTGTGTGGGCATTGAGATGGCTTTATCAAAGAATATAATGAATACAATAAAATATTTATAATACAAACACAAGAATATAATTAGGCCTAAGGCTTTAGACTAATCAATTAGTATAGTGTTGGTTTTTTACTACTCAATGAATCTATCTTTTTGGCAGTGTTTTCAAATTACAATAGAACAATAAAATAAATCATGATATAGGCTGGTAACATTTGGCCAAATCCCATTTTGGACATCCTAAAAAGTACTTTTAAAAAGTCAAGGACTGGGGGCTGGAGAGATGGCTCAGCAGTTAAAAGCACTGGCTGCTCTTCCAGAGGACCTGGTTTCAATTCCCAGCACCCACATGACAGCTCACAACTGTCTGCAATTCCAGTGTCAGGGGATCTGACACCTTCATACCATTGTACATAAAATAAAGTTGTTGTTTAAAAAAAAAGTCAAGAACTAGGCTCGGGAGATGGCTCAGTCAGTTAAGGTGTCTACCGTGCTAGAGTTTAGATCCCCAAAGTTGGACACACATATCTGTAACCCCAGAGCTGGGAGTCAGTAGGGGAGTGGTGACAGGTAAATTCTTCGGAGCTCGTTATCCATCCAGTACAGCTAATTGGCGAGAGAGTGCTGGGTTCCGTGGTTGACCTTGTCTCAAAAGAGAAGTTGGAGAGCAATGGTGGCGGAGACTCAGGTCAACCTCTGGCCTCCACACACTAATGAGCACACATGTACATGTACACTTGCATGCACACGGACACCACACACACACACACACACACACACACACACACACACACACACACACACACGGTCAAGGGGAAATTTTTTCCCTCTGAACAGTCCTGTAAAAGATGAAAGTGTTGGGATTATAGAAATCACAAGTTCACCTTTAATCCCAGCACTCAGGAGGCAGGAGCAGGCGATTTCTGCGAGTTTGAAGCCAGTCTGGTCTACAAAGTAAGTTCCAGGGCAGCCAGGACTGTTACACTGAGAAACCCTGTCTCAAAAAACCAAAAAAAAAAAAAAAAAAGAAAGAAAGAAAGAAAAGAATGAACAAACAAACAAATAAAAATCACAAGACCCTCCTACACTCTGGACTATGTTTTAATTCAGTAGCAAAGCACACTTTTATCTGGGAAAATGGTTCACCTAGTGTGATGGTAGGTTTTAATTGTCATCTTGATGAGATCTAGAATCACCTGGAAGGTAGGCAAGCCAAATGGCTTCTCTGCTTTTCATGCAGTTGAGTGCTACAGAGATGACACCACCTCAGGCCACCCCTACTGTCTGCAACTATCCTTATGAGGCACAAGGTGCTAGGTAGTTTGAAGGTTGCTGTCCAGTGAGATTTGACTTAGGAAGGTACATGCTAAAAGAAATACAATTCTGAAAATACAGATGACAGGAAGTTAGTAAAGGAGGGGAAAAAGCCACCAGGAAAGTCAAAGGAGTAGCCTGGGGTCTTCACACAGAAGAGACACATTCACCCTCTGAAAGGCTGTAGAGATGAGGCTGTAGGAAAAACTTTCACCATCTCAAGAGAGGCAATCAGTGGGACACACCTTTAATCCTAGCACTAGGAGGGCCAAGGCAGGTAGATCTCTATGAGTTCAAGGCCATCTTGGTCTGCACAAGCTCCAGGCCATCAAATGCTACCTAGTGAGACCCTGTCCTCAGAACACGGGGAGGTGTTGGGGGTAGAGGAGTACAGTCGGGTGAAACTTTCAAGAAGAAAGTAAGATTAAGGAGTACAAAAGTCAATTGGAAGATATAAGAGAGTAGCGCAGATCAATAAACACAAGGAGATAACAGAAACCGGTCATCGATCGCTAAACCCAGATCAAGACTGGGAATGGTCACACCTGGAGTGGAGAACACGCTTGCACGGGTAGAGGAGGGCCATGTTGGGTTGAGGATGATTAACCTGACCCTTGGCTGGACCTGGATAGGGACTACAGAATGCCTCTAGAGGCTCCATGGTGCAGAATTCCCTGCTCTTATGTAAATATATCAGACTACTGGCCTTGTTTTTTTTTTTTTTTTTTTTTTTTTTGGTTTTTCGAGACAGGGTTTCTCTGTGTAGCTTTGCGCCTTTCCTGGAGCTCACTTGGTAGTCCAGGCTGGCCTCGAACTCACAGCGATCCGCCTGGCTCTGCCTCCCGAGTGCTGGGATTAAAGGCGTGCGCCACCACCGCCCGGCATGGCCTTGTTATTAGATCCATTTCTCATCAGCAGACTCATTTAAGCCAAGTTCATAAAACTGATGTATAAATCCAAGTTCTAATTTATAAATTAACAATGAGAAATATAACTAAGACTAGGACAGGGCCCAAACAGATTAACTCACAACAATAAAAGTCTGTTACATAAATTAGGCATTTAATAACCAGGAGAGCCTGAGAAAATGAAAACTAGACAGTCTTTCTTTTTGGTTGAGACATAGTTTCTCTGTGTAGCCTTGGCTAGCCTGGAACTTGTTCCATAGACTATGCTGGCCTCAAACTCACAGATATCCTCCTGCCTCTGTCTCTCAAGCGCCAGGATTAAAGGCATACACCACCACTGGCCAGCTGGACACTCTTAACACAACAGCTTGCTAGGTAGTCCAGCACATATAAGTCCAGTCTAGCACTGACCCTTCACACCCTGAGATGATACTGAATTGGTTACAACCCTCTCTTTGTTTCAATTGCCACATGCTGGCTTCAGATATATTGGTGTATTCAAGCATGATACATTAAGCCAGGCATGGTGATGCATGCTTACAAACTCCACACTCTAGAGGAGTTGTGGGGTCACAACACCTTTGGGGTATCCAAACGACCACTCCAAAGGGATTGCCTTAGACCATCGGAAAACAGATATTCACATTACTATTCATAACAGTAGTAAAATTACAGTTATGAAGTAACAATGTAAATAATTTTATGGTTAGGGTCACCTCAACATGAGGAACTAAGGGTATTAAAGGGTCACAGCATCAGGAAAGTTGAGAACCACTGCCCTAGAGGCTGAGGCAAGAGGATTGCCACAATTTCAAGGCCAACCTGGGCTACACCTTATCTCAGGAAAAAAAAGTGTATGACAAGGCTAGGAGCCACTCTACTTCCTAGTTACAGAGTCCAAGCTCTGGGGAATCTGGGAATTTCTAAACTAGATGTAAAATTTTACCTGTGATTCTTGCCTTATCTGTTGGATTTGAAGCCAAATTCTTTTTTTTTTTTTTCCAAGACAGGATTTCTCTGTGTAGCTTTGGAGCCTGTCCTGGAACTTGCTCTGTAGACCCAGGCTGGCCTCGAACTCACAGAGATCCACCTGCCTCTGCCTCTGCCTCTGCCTCCTGAGTGCTGGGATTAAAGGTTCGCGACACCACGGCCCAGCTTGAAGCCAGATTCTTAGCAGACATGTTCAAATCTTAGTGTTCAGAGACAACTCACACTAGTCCTGGGGTGCTGAGAATACAAAACATTTTATATAATATGAACATATACACATTTAAAAAAAAAA